GCTGGAGGAAACGAGCCGCTCCTCTGTGGATGTTGTTTAGCTCGTCTCTGGAGAGGTGAGGCTGAGGGCTAGCTTGTTAAAGAGCCATTTGAGACGCATTAGGACAGCTGTTTTCAGGGTTTATGTGTTGTTTTGTTGCACCTCCGTCGACATACAGAGGCTCTTCCTCTGTAGCTGCTGAGTCTAATCGCTACCAAGGTGCCTATAAGCACTCGTAGTGGAGAAAGTAGCGGTCCACATTAAGAAGGGACGGATCGCCCTGACCGTAAAACCCACAGACACTCGCTCATCTAATCACTAATGGCCTCCAGATAAGACTGCTGCTGCTAATTGAAGTGGAGCGCCAGTTTCTGTCTAATCTGTTGGATGGGCGACATTTAACAATAAAAGCCAACGTGGTTATGGTAACTGGGAGAGCTGGGAGGCCGACACCCAAGATGTTCATCAGCTGCTGGAGCTCAATTACAATCTCTCTGATTGCTTTGCTGGTCAAGAGGAGGAGTGAAGTCGGCGCTTGGTGTACGTTATTCCAGGATGTGCGCAGCGTGTTGGGTTCATGTCTGCTCTTTGTTCCCCTGCAGAAGGAGCTGTCGGTGGAGAAGCTGCCCGTCGAGCCGAGCCGTCCGGCCTCTCTCCACATCTCCCTGGAGTCCCTGAACAAGCTGAATCACGGCGGCGTCGCCCCAGACCCCAACCTCAGAGCCGACGGCGACGCAGGCAACAACAGCTGCAACGGCAGTGAGCGTCTACCGCCGTCTGGCTTTGCCATCAGGCCGGGGCCGGACCACTCCCTCAGCGACTCGCTGTATGACAGCTTCTCTTCCTGCACCAGCCAGGGTTCCAACGGCGTCTGAGGAGCTGCTTTACCGCTGGATGTGTGGCCCTGTATTGACCTTTCACTTCACCCTTTAACTCTAGTGTCAGTGGATCAATGACTTGGATGTTGAAGGGTACAGACAGCCCATTAGACCTGTTTTTAGGTTTCCATGCCTGGTGGCTACAAGACAATGAGAACTATTGTCTCTTCTCTTGACTCAGTCAACGCGGTGGTTTCTAGAACCCAGTGGTACGGATGATCTCAACATCCTCAGAAATCTCTTGATCTTTATGTGATTCAATACCATCATGTGTGGTGAGGATGTCTCCTGGTTTGAGAGGACCGCCCACCTCTCATCAGGTCCAACCAGACCAGGAAAAGTTAGTCCAACTAACCTAAATTTAAAGACGGTTGTCAAAAACAAATTAACTGTCATTAAATAGCAAAGCAGTGCAATCTAAAGTGTTGAGCCAGGCAAAATATTTTGGCAGTTAAGGATATTTTCATGATAAGAAACTTATAATGTATTATTATTTTCTCTCAACTGATAATTGGTTGTTTTGTGGGTCAGAAGATAAAGTTTTTCAGCACTGTTACTCTTTGATTTTCACAAGACACCAAAACAGAGGTTAGAAAGTAGGGGTCAGGATGCTGCTGTAGGTCAATCCCTTTTGTTGTGGTTTGGGGATATTTAGGAATCTTAGAAACTGATGTTTTGTTAGTCAGAGACTGAAGCCTTTGAGATTTCCAGTCTTGGAGAATCACAAAACAGTTTCTGCAGTGAAGAAACGTATCAGTGAAACCTTGGTGAGGCGCTAATGGCACCATTCTTCACTGGTAGATCCAGACCTTGCTGTGGGTTTGAACCTCTTGACTAAATCTCTATTATTTTTCCAAAAGACTTTAGCAGCCTCACCCACAAAGTGACCCATTAGATTTTCCATACAACCAAAGCACTTAGAAGATCCGTCAACATAGACTCAACCCAATCCAGAACCCTGATTAGTAGAGAAACATGTTACCAAATTGTCCTGACTGACATAAACATTATTTACACCCAGATTTATGGTTTATACTTCTGGGTTGAGGAAGATCTCTCTATAACTGCTTCTGTTGAGTTCCAACAATTGGTCATAAGGACAAGGTTCTCATTAGCCAGTGTACTGGATGTCCAACATATGTTCTACTGATTGCAGTTTTAAGGAGATGCAATCTCTTTTAATAAACCAGGTTTGGGTATAGACTAAAGGCAGGGTCTCAGATCTTGGTTACATCTTGGTAACATCATGGTTGGGTCTTGGTGAGATCGTGATTAGGTCTTAGTTGGATCTTGTTTGGGTCTTTGTTAGATCTTCATTGGGTTTTGGCTAGGTCCTGATTGGGTCTTTGTTAGATTTTGATTGGGTCTTGGTTGGGTTAATCTTTCATCCACCACACATCCGGAGGACCATTTGTCCTCCTAAATGTTGAAGACAAGAGATATCTACGCTGACGTGGGTTTGAATACTTCCTGATGTGAGTTTAGTTTTTGGTACATCAGTCCTCCGACTGTTTGATTTCTTTTGCTGTCGGTAACTCAGGGAACTTTCTGGACTCACAAAGATTGTAAATTAAAGCGTCTTTCCTCCCATATGAGAAACTTTTGATCGTCTCGATGAGTTCAGGTTTCAGAACCGGTCTCTCTCCCATGTAGCATCACTGCAAACCTTTCTACTGTCCTCAGTTTCTCCTCGTGTCTGTATATTATGTTGTACATAAAATCACTATAAGTTAATATCAGAAGGGGCATTGCTGATTGATATGTGACTAAAGCATTTTGTAAAGAAAAGCTGTACATTTTTGCCAATCATTCGACTAACTTTTCCAGTCGTCCTGTCTGAAAACGGCGCGGATCGTTTTCTGATCTTTTAAAGAATAAAAGTCTTTATTTTGAATCAATAAATGCAAAAAACACTTTAGGTGTAATTATGCCAAATTGTTGTCTGGAATCTGACAAGCTGGTGCTAATAATCAACATAGTTTGGATTTTTTTTTTTTTTTTTTTTTTTTTTATGGAACTGTAATTATTGTAAGAAGAGAGTGTGAAGGGGAGGGTTGTGTATTTTTCTAGCTGTCCAGTATTTATACCCAGGTTTTGTAGTGTGACCGTCATGCTTCACCTCTTTCCTTACATGTTTCTTTGTAAAGAGAACTGGTTACCAGCAGTGTTACTTTGGTAATTATTGTTATTATTAATATTATTATTATTATTATTGCTGTGTGCAATTTTTGTCTGTTACTCTAGACTTTAAGGCTATATTTTATGTAACTATTTCCTAAATAAATATGAGAAATTATTTCCTATTTCAAATGGAGCCGCTGGCTGTTTATTGATGTGAAAATTGTAGGTTTTGGTTTTCATCGTTGTTGCCCCCCCTCCCCACCCTGGTGGGGGGTAGAGGGGGTAATAATCACAGCGTCGCAGTCTGTTGGCGACGGATCAACGCCGCCCTGTCCCCTGATGGGTAATTACAGGCACAGGGCCGGACGCAGCTAGCTTACTCACGCCTGGCTGGGTCCGGCTCAGTGCTGCTATTGATCACCGAGCGGACGGCGAGGAGCGAGGGGGGGAGCGAGGGGGGCTCATTATGCTGAAAATGGAGGTTAATTTGTGCTGAGTCGATGATGTTTCTATTATTTTAGGGGATGAGGGAAGAGAAAGCGCTGAAATAACGAGGTGGAAATGCAGTTTAGATGACAGGCGGCTTTCATGGAAGAGGTTAATTAGATAGATTAAAAAAAGTTATCAACCTTTGCGGGATCACTTGCTGTTCTGGGTAATTGTGTTTGCTCACAACACTTTTTGATCACTATCCAAACTTTACTCATGTTTGCTCTGATTTGTTTCTTGTTTTTTTTTTTTTTTGTTCCTAATATTTTTTTGGCTTAATCTTTAAGTTTGGATAATTAGGAAGAAGAGTGTTGGACGTTCAGGTGTAACAGCAGCGAAGTGACATGGAGGTTCTCTCTGGAAGAATTTCTGCTCTTAGTTTTCTACTTTCACACAGCTGTTATGTGTAACCATGGCAACAAGGTTTTTTTGTTGTTTTTAACTTACTGATTAGCACCGTAATACCGGAACTGAAGAGAGGAGGAAGTTCAAAGCATCTCCAGAGATTTAAAGAGAAGCAGCAAAAGCAAAGGAGGTGGATTAGCAGAGCTAGCTAGCTACCTAGCTAGCAGTTGATGATGTCATCTGGACGTGTTGCTGTAGAATATCGTCTCTGGATACCAAGCTGTTAGCGTGTCACGATGGTCAGGAACAGTCTTCAGTCAGAGGCCTCAAATCAGTGAAGTCTGCATGATCAGAAGTTTTTCTTCTTTTGTCTATCGGACCACAACTTTTTATGCTAAACATGCTAGCTTTGCTGTTGCCATGGATGCCACCAATTGCCTGGTAAACAACGATGCAACCTAGTCCAACTTGAAGAGGGAGTTTCTGAGTTTTAAGTCTAGGAAAGTGACGGGATTGCCTCAGGAAGTTGAAAATTCCAACTTGGAAAGTTGGAGGACTCTGACTGTAAATCAATTCCCCGTTTGAGAAACAGAAGGTTAAACATTTGTGTCACAACAGAACATCTCTCTGCTGCACTTCCTGAAAATAAAGGAGACATTTTGCACTTTGCATGCGCACCGATGTGTGATTTCTCTTTCATAAACCTGTACAGCACTGTAAGGCAGCTAATCTGGTTCTGTTAGGTTTAATACAACTAGATCTCATAGACGTTCTGAATAATGGTGCGATTCATCGGCCATATTGGTTGTTTTAAAGCTGGAGTTGGTGAGTTGTACCCAGAAAATGGCGGCAAAATCAACTGAAAAAGTCGGAAACCTCAAGATCCGATCTCAACATCTGTCTGTGATCCAGTCATACTGCGGGTAAGACACTGAGTGCTCATGACCTCCCAATAGAGTCCCACTTCTTTAAAAAAAAAAAAAAAAAAAAGTGGCACCAGATTAGATCAAATAAAAACTTTCAAGACTTTTCTTTCCGGCAACATTTAGCAAATGAATCAAGACAGAATTTACCTCCAGATTAAAAGCTGATACTTTAGTGAAAAATAAAACAGATTTCTAATAATTAGGATAATGTGATCTTTGTGTGAAGGGAGAGAGGAACGTGGTCACGTGGTGCGCTGGATGCTGCTGTGCTCCAGCTTCTTCCTCTCCAGTCGCTCTGAGCGCAACAACCTGTGCGGAACTCCGTCCCTCCCTCCTCCACCTCATCCCTCCATCATCCCTCCATCTGCCCCAGAGGGGGAGAGGATGAGCCGGCGGACCGACCCCTGCTCCTGCCGCTGATTCCCTCCCGCTCTCATGGTTCTCCTCCGGGCTGCAGGCAGAGGATGCGGCTGCTCGTTTTCGCCACTTTACTGGGACTCTTCCTGGACGCAGGTGGGTCAGCTGGACGCAACAGGAGAAGGAACGCGCTCACACACACACACACACACAACAAGCTGCATCTGAAATGCTGGGGAAACCGTTTGATTTTAAGCGCGCGGTAAATACACTTTAGTGGAAAATATAGCAAAAAAAAAAAAAAAGAAGAAGAAAAAGTGCGCTTTGGCGCAAGATCGTGCGCACTAATCCATTCTCTGCTGATTCTGAAAATTGATTTTAATTTTTTGTTGTTGCTTGGATTTAAATGCTCAACTTGTGTGTGGAAAAGTTGCAAAAGTGTCCTTTGTTTTTTTCTCTCTCTGAATTTACACATTTCTCCACATTTGCGCAGATTTAAGAAAAACATTTTTTTAGCGGTTTCTTCTTAGCGAATGGTTGTGATGAATCGAGCTGGATTTCAGCTCCTGCTGAGTTTCCACTAATGTCTTGTGGCTCCCCGCTGCTGTGATTAAACAGCACTAACTGAACCCGTCAGCTGAGCTTAACGTGACATGATTCCGTCTGCGGCGGGATTTCATCTCCAGAGTTGTTGAGTTTATTTTATTTTTCCCAGATTGCGGCTGAAATGTGTTTTCCGAGGCGCCAGGTTTCCTCCTGCAGCCGCCTTGCCCTTTCTGCAGGTTCAGTGTGCAGAGCCGACCCAACGGGGAGGTTTCCAGGGCAATAAGAAAAGCTCAGCTGGTGGAGTTAAAAGCCTGGAAAAGAAGAGGGCAGAAGCCACAGATGATGGTTTATTTTTTATTTTATTTTATGTTATTTTATCCGTTTTGTTCTGTAAATGCTCCTTTAATCAAACGCGTTTCCTCAGAGCCGCCGCCGCGGTGTTCTCTGGAAATGTGCGCTTTTCTGTGGCTCCAGGTGCAAATTTGTTTCCAAGCGCAGGCTGGAAAAAACAGCAGCAGCTTAAAAAATAGATGCGTTTGTACCTGCGTTTGAGCCCAGCTATGTGCAAAACCTGGGCTCTGTGCGGAAGTCCAACTAAACACTAAGAAAAAATAAGAAGGTAAAAAAATAGTCGTTTTGATCAGAAACAGATGAAAATTAAACTGTAAAATGAGTCGATTTATTCACTGTGGAAGGAAACGATGCAGATTTTTCATTTAGTTGATTCCGGTTCTGATTTTTTTTTTCATCTTCATTCAACCTGATCTGATAATATTTAAATTCAGAGCTGTAATTGCTACCATAACACTTTATATATTCATTTATCTGTATATAGATAAAATTTAAGTTATGGTTCATTTTAAATATTTGGGGAAAATGTGGAGTTAAAGTGGAATCCTGAATGATTTTGTTTGTTTAGAATTTTATTAGAAATATTGTTATGCAATTTAAAAAAAACACTGTTCTGACCCCAAAGGGGAATTGTTTAATGGACAGAAAGGATCTCTTGCAGTCTGTGTTGCAGCAAATTTGAAGAAGCCTCTGACCGAAGACTCTGTTTTTCTAAGACAGTCTGGTGAAGAGGAAGGTCAGGTTGTCGGTATTGAACCCATCTTGGTTTGTAATGAGAGAAACATGAGACTTTGCTTATATTTCTGCCTCGTGTTTCAGATCTCCTTCATTTCTCCCAAAGGCCATGGTGGCCATCTTTAGTTTTTTCCTGCTGAATGATGTGATGAGCTGCAGCTTATTGATGTGATGAAGAAGCAAAAAAGCAGACGAGATGCGTCCCAGTGAGCGAGATTAAATAATCAATATTGCAAATGAAAATGTTGTCGTGTCGAGGCAGAAGGATCTCCTGTAGCAGTCTTTATTACAGCGTTGCTGTAGAAGCCTCTGTTGCTGTGTAATGGAATGATGGGGAGTCGTTTGTCATATTTTACGTTTCATGAAGAATCCTTTTTGTTTCTTTTGTTGAAGCTGCTGCATAATTAATCATAAACAGATTAATTATGCAGCCAATTATTATGAATTAGCTGACATGGTGCCTTCACTGACCAGGAAAAACCCCCAAATAGTTTTAAAACTCTCTTTACAACTTTTATAAAACATCAATTCTTCTTATTATTGCATTTCTCATAAATGCTAATCAAAACATTTCATTATACGCCAACTAACCTTTGGATTTATATTCGAATCTTTATAAATATATATGCTATGTTATTATTATCTATGACAAACACCCAGCTCTTTTCCTTCAACGCCTAGCAGTCTTCTAAAGATCACCATAGAAACATTATATTTTACAACATTTCTTCATTTTTAATAAATGCCATTCGGTCCCCCTGACACAAAAACACATTTTTGAATGAATTTTCTAACAATTGAATCCCTTAAGAGTCAGAATCAGGTTTACATAATTGTGGCTCAAATGAGGAATCTGGTTTTGTTTTTTTAATCCTCAGCATCTCAAAATATAACGTTTAAAAAGAAAATAAAATAAGGATGAAGGAGTGATGCTTTTATGTATCTGCAGCTATTTTTTTTTCCATAATGTGAAAGAATAACAGAAGGGTTGTTGTGACAGTTAAAAATGCTTATTGTGTGAATATTTTTTTTGCACTGTCACAATGATCCTTCTGAAAAGCAGATTTAGCAAGAAAAGTCTATTTTTCTGCTTAGTCATCATAAGTTTGTGAGAAAACTGTTTTTTTTTCTTTCTTCCATCCAATAAATATTAATTTACAAATCTGATTGGCATATAAAAATCTATAAATAATCTATAAATACCTTTGACTCGGAAACATCAAAACAGGAAATTCTGAGCAGATTTCAACCCCAAAGAATAAAATAAATACAAGTAATAATCTTGAATGGAACAAGCAATTCTTGTTCTATTTAATTTAAAAGGCACATTTAAGATTTAAAAGTGGACAAAATTCAAAAAGCAAACAAAAAAACAATGAAGAGTTTAAGCTGGAGAAGTAGAAGTCAATGCTACAAACTGTTTGGCTGTCAGCTTTTATTGAAGTTATTGGCTAGAATTTTTATAGAAAGATACATTAAAGTTAGTGTGAAGGTGGATTTAGTGCCCTTTCCATAATATCTGTGAGATTCAGGTCTGCTTCCTCTCTGCTTCCTGTCCGCTTCCTGTTTGTGTGTGACAGGTGACGGCCTCCAGATCCAGTGCTACCAGTGTGAGGGTGTCAACTACGACTGCTCCACTCCCGAGTTCATCGTTAACTGCACAGTCAACGTCCAGGACATGTGCCAGAAGGAGGTGCTGGTCAAACCTGACGGTACGACACCACTTACTAACTTAAACCCCCCCCATAAAACAACATGGCTAGGGTGCTAATCCCTCCTCTCTGGAGATTTAATTTGTGTTTTCTTCTATTCAGAGCTGAGGATGCAAATGGCAAAGTGTCCAATTAGAGCTGCTATCTTGTTCCGGCTGATCATGTGGGAACATGAGTCAGCATGGCAACTTACACGACCTCCAAACTCGGTTTCCTCTGAAGCCTGAGAACCAGGGAGACATTTTCTGCTGTTATGACATTTATTTTTTTTGATTGCGCGAAGCCAAACAAAGATAAACACCTCATTACATCTGCGTCGTATTCGCGCCTTGAGTTTTTTTTTTAAAAGGTAACATGAAAAGACAGAAATTATTTCCCTAAAGAAGCCAGCCGCCACCTCTCTCCTTTCTTCCCGTCTCAGATACATTCCTCATGTCTGACTTACCTGGCCCCTCCAGGAGGTCAACACAATCTCCTGTGATTTTCGCTGGAACCGACATTGTTATCTGTTATTTCTCTCCGCGGAGCTTCAAAGAAAGCTGATGTGTGTCCTCACAGCTTTACAGCAGTAGAAGCCTTTGCAGGCAACAAATACCAGTCAGTTCAATCTTTCAACTGGATAAATACATGTATCATTTCTCGCTGTGATATCTTTCTCAGCGCTTGTAAAGACTGTCATAAAACATCTGAAAATCTGCCATTTTATATGGAATAGGCTAGCATTAGCTTCCAGTGGTTCAAAGTTAAAAATCAAACCAAAGAAAATGAATAACAAGGCTTTTAATACTGTATTTCAAATGCTGAGAGACTTTTAGCTAAAAAAATAAACCAACCCAACAACAAAAAGAAAAAAACAAGGAGACAGTCTTACATTATGGACTCTACTAGCTAGCTTAGCCCTTAAGCTAATTCAGCTAAATATTGATTTAGCATTATGAAACCAGCTGAATTTGTTGAAATGCTAAAGGAACATGCTAAAAAATGTAAGTTGTTCAATAGCATGTGTATGTGAGGTTTCAAATGAGACAAACTGTTCATAAATTCAAACATAGTTAGCTTTATCGGATACTTTCAGAGCTGCTTGGGAACCATTAACTTCCCAAGCCATAATTATAGATTTACAAAACTCTAATTTAGCACAAAGCGGTGAAAGGTTGTGTTATGTCTTACCTGCCTGATAGTGTTCGAATTTATCTTAAATGAGAATGTTGAAGTCAGCTCTAGGTAGAAAATGTAGTTATTGAAAACTGAGCTTTTCCCTGCTGGTGTAAAATGTTCAACTTTAGCTCAAACAAATGCTGAAACCTCACAATTTAATGCACTGATGGGCTTTTAAAGTAGTTATATCTGTCTAAATGTAGTGTAAAAAGCATAAAAAATAGGCTAATTTCAACCAGTCTGATTGTCACATTTCTGAAACAAAATCTAGTTGAGCTGTCTCCATGATTAAAGGTTTAGCACTGGAAATAGTTTTCACATTACCTTAGCTTTGTTATTCTTTTGAGAGTACCACATATAGGGCTTATTTGATAAATTAACATTAGGTGTAAAGAACAAGTCCTGATGCTTCTGCTAAAAGGGGTTAATGAGAATCTGTACATTTCTTTGCAGATGATTTGCTGCTGTATCAACATGAACTTTTAGCTTTTGGCCACATTTAAGTATTTTAGCTGTTAGAAAAGTTGAGTTGTTAAAAATAACCAGTGAGACTTCACAACATATTTTTTTGCTTTTTGGAACTTTATTTAAAAGCAAATCCAAATAAATGTATTTCAGATAACAGAAGAATATGATAAAAATGTTTGGGTAAATATTTCATTTAGGTGTCTTTCCATGACTTTTATGTCTAAAACTAGATTAACCAAAAAAACATGATCAGATGTTATTAAATCATGACTTGGGCTTTGTTTAGACCGTATTCTCTACAGGGCTGCTTAGCTGGTCATTCTGTTTATTTATTGCAAAAACAAGTTGACAATTATTGCTGTTGGTGCAGCTAACGCAGCCCGCCTGCTGTAACATAACAGATGTTGCTAATATGGAAAAGTTGGACCTGATAACGGCCAGGCTGTCTGCCGTTTTTCTTTAAGCAGAAATATAGAGCCCACAGATAAATATCAGTTAATAAGATCAGCTGGAGGATCGATGTCTCCATAAGTCAAACAGAGCAATAAACTGCTGCGGCGTGCCAGAACAAAGCAAAGCAACCTGAGTAATCTGATTACATTAGAGGAAATGTTTCTGTTCAGGAGGCAGTAAAGTCGTCTCCCTCCTGCAGGAACCCACTACAGGAAGTCATGCGCGTCGTCGTCGGCCTGCCTCATCACCTCCTCCGGCTACCAGCAGTTCTGCACCGGCCGGCTCAACTCAGTGTGCATCAGCTGCTGCAGCACGCCGCTCTGCAACGGCGTCAAGAAGAAGCGGCCTGTCCTGTCGGCCGCCGCCTCCAGCAGGCGGGCCCTGCTCTTCCTCACACCGCCCATGCTGCTCCACCTGACGTAGACGGGCCTCTGACTGTCGCGTAGAACCACGCAGGGTAGACGTAACTCTTTTTCTGGTTTGTTGCTCACGAGAGCAAAAAAAATAAATGGAGCCTAATGTATCTCCTTGGTCATTTTGTGTTAATTATTAAGTATATAAATCACTGCATCAGCTCCTGTGAAGCACGGTGGTGACGGGGTGATGCTCGGGGCCTGTTGGATCCACAATCATGTTAGTGCTACCAGCTTTTGAATCAGATATCTAAAGAAAAAGTGGCTAAAAGCTTTGATCCCTAGAAACCCAGCCGCTGTTTCTGCTTCAGGAGGTAAGAAGAAAAGCACGGCGGTGGCAGGGTGGTGGTACGGGCTTGTTTTATATACCTGGGACTGTCCATCCAGGGTGGAACGAAGTTAGCTTGTGATTGTTTTCAAATCTGAATGCTGACGTTCTGTTCCAGTCCCAGGGTCTGACCGGTGAACAGGTTTGGACTCTGGTTCGCCAGTCGCCGGTGTCGCTTTTCGTGAAATGGAGTGTAATCGGCATAAACTTTGGATAATTTCAGGCTTTTATTTTATGCTCTGATGGTTTGAAACGGCCTGTGGAGTTCACTTTGTGTTAATATAGTCGTTGTTATTTCTCAGAATTACACTTTATTTATATTTACGTATGTATATTTACCCACTGCCAGGTGATATTTTATTCTTCTTTCATTGCAGGAAGTATAAAGGAACCAAAATGCATCTGTTTAAGTTGCTGTCTATTAATCTACAGTCACATAATCGAGTTAATTCTTTAAAAATAATTTAAAAAGAAAAATTTGTGGGGCATTTAGATGTCTAAGACATGAATTATTATTATTATTATTATTATTATTATTATTATTATTATTATTATTATTATTATTTTAACAACAGCACAGCATTACAACGAGTGAAAAACAAGAAATGCGCCTCACAGCTTCAAATTGAATGTTCTCTGGACTCCTTAAACTTTAAAAATATCAAATTCAAGAGGAACAATTTTAAAAAATAAGCATTTTCAATCTTTGTCATTATTTCCTCAATGCCTTCATTTCCACCTCACTCTGCAGGGTTTGAATGTGTTTGTGCTCAACGCGCCGTGGACAATAAAGTGTCAGATGTTATTTATTTATTTATTTGAGGCTGATTCGACAGTCTGTTTTTACAGTGCTCTAGTTATGGTAGAGGAGGGACGTCCATGGCTTCTCCTAAAGAGTCTTCTGTGAAGAGTAACGCTGTATTCTGCTGATATGTGGTTTCAATAAATGTTGCAGAAAAATCAGCTCTTAAATCGTGTTTGTGGCAAATCGGCAGAACGTCCTGGCATTTCTTCATGCTGATTCTTTTTCAACCCATTTATTGTATTTATCATCCTCTGTAACATTTGAGATAAACTTGATATTTGAATGTTCTTGATTAAGAAAGTAGCGTCTTGTGTGATCAACTTAATTCGCAATATTTGAGTGAAATGGAGGTGGAGCTTTGGGTATTTGAAGCAATTCCAAGATGGCTGATTACAGCTAACATGGTTCCAACACACACAAAGGAAATATACGACTAAAACTTTGATTTCACAAGAAAGTAAAACATTGAATTAGATGGAATCTAACAGACACCAACCCATCAAGGAGAATACATATAGACGGTGGATTCAGTGCAGTCCAGCTGTAGCGGTCTCAATCAGTAACAACTTCAACACCAATGACTGTAGTTGTGTTCAATGACTGGAAAACATTCTGACTTTGATTAAATTCATACCACTCCATTCACCAGCCTTGTAGTCTTATCCTGGTAATTAGCGCAGTTAGCATCAGAGGACAACGGTCTCCTGTAGACCTTTACTCTGACACTAGAAAAAAGTAAAAACATTTCCAGATGTTTCATAACAGACGGAGGTTAAAAGGTCCAAAATGAGAAACTTTCCTGTACCTTATTGATTCTTCCCTTTTATCTACTGAAAGTCTTGCTCTCTCTCGCTGTCCCACAGCCTGGAACGGCTTAAAATGGTGTGTTCACTGGAACAGGGTTCTGGAGTCACTCGACATTCTCTTGGTATATTTTTTGTTTTTCATAAATTTTGCAGCCCTACTGAAATGTAAAATGAAAACACACCCAGACAGAAACAGAACAATCAATCTGTTGGGAACCAAGACATTTAATCTATCAATCACCATTTCTTCCTTCCTGGTCTCTCTGGCTTCACCAGCTCTGATTCCTGCCGTTTCGGTTCTTCCACGTTGGAAACACCTTCCCACCTTCTTAGACTTGGAGAAGATCTACATAGATTACAGGTAACCTAACTTCTCTAAGGCTGTTGTTGAGAGCATCATCTCTTCTGCCGTCATCTGTTGGGGTAGCAGCATCAGAGCCAGTGACCTAAAATGACTCAACAACCTGATACAGAGGACTAGTTCTGTTCTGGGGATGACTGTGGAACCTCTGGAAATGATCCAAAGTAAAATAAAAAGAAACTATGGACAAACCTGACCATTCTCTTCATGAGACCATCTCGAGAAAACAAACTGTCTTCAGTCGGAGGCTTCTTCAGATTCAGTGCAGTATAGACTGCTACAGGAGATCTTTCCTCCCTACAGCCATCACCGTCTTCAATAACTCTTAAAAGAATCTAAACTAATGAGTTACAACAACATTTAATTTCTCTTCAGGATCAGTAAAGTACTTTTTGAATTTGAAATCATTTTGTTTCCCAGCATGTCTGGTTCAGGCTTGATGACTGACCGCTGCCTGTAATTACAGCCCTGATGATGGACACACAACAGAACCTCCTATTGGAATAACATGTTTCGTTTACCAAACCACTGAAGAACTTAGAACAGCGTGAACAGCATGATGGTTTAGCTATGGCTAAATAATGCAGGCGGTAGTTAGCGGCTGGCTGTGTGGAGGGCGTCCTGCCGACTGGATGACTGAGCATCATTAGGCCTGAACACGAAGGACGGCTGATGATCACAGCGGGAAAGTGCCGACTGCAGCTCTCCAGGGGCTAAGAAGCAGCAAAAGCAGCAGATTATTAAAAATAATAAGACCCTCCTCTGCCTGGTTCTAATGGCCGTCGAGCCAGGCCCTGACAGCGGTCATACTTCAGCTGATGAGGGACCTCTGTATACCCAGCAGGCCAGGCTGTGGCGGAAAGAGGGCCGAATTATTTGTTTGTGTGTGGGCGAGGATCAAAAACCTCCAGGGAGTCAATTACCCCTCCATCGTCCTGCTGGAGGAAGCGGCCCTCACTTCCTGTGAATCGTTGGGGCCGCCACCGCCTCCACCGCCGCCACCCCCGCTGCAAGGCCAGCTCTGGAGGAATTAGAAACTCGTTTAGCTGGATTAGGCTCCAGGCTGGATTTAGGGGCTCAAACACTAACCTTACTTTGGTAAATGGGGGAAATGGCGTTCTAGTTAAAGCAGCTCCATCACCGGCCTAGTCAAAGTAACTCCAAGGAGGGATAATTTACAAGCACCTGACCTGCAAAAATTCTGTGGAAAAATACAAAAACCTGCTACTCATAATGTTGTTTTTGTATTTCAGTAAATGTTTTTAGAATCTATTCTCATTCGGTTTGTTTAGTAGATTAATTGATTTAAACTCTTGGGGGGGCGGGGGATTCCTCGTTTTAGACATGATGGGAGCTCTGCTGCCCTCTGGTGGACAACATCCTGATGTTCAAAAGCATTCACCTGCTCATTTATTTTTTACCCCTCCTTACCCAGACAGTGAGTCAGCTGATCGGAGGTGGAAATGTTTTGATGTGGAGTCATGAGAGACAAGGTGAGTTGATGTTTAATGATGAAAACTAAATCTGGGTGGAACTGAAGTGTTTTATTCAGTTTATTCCAACCTTCCATACTTTTAATATACAATAAAAAATAATGTTTGCATGTAGACTTTCATAAAAACACACTGACTGTACCAAAAGTCCACAGTTAATCTACTTCTTCATCTGGTGCATTACTGCCACCTGCTGGTGGAAACAGGAGCCAGCAATAAAATCCCTTCACTCAAGCCTGAAATCTAGTTAACAGGAATTTTAGCTGGGAAAATTATCCCACATCATTGCAACAAAAATAATGACAAATGTCGAGATGTAATTTTATAGATACTATCTATTTATACATAAACACTGAAAGAAACTCTTTAAATCCCCTGTATTACATTAATTGGGGCCTGCCCATAGCATTACATAGGACAGAGCAGTCACTGCCTATAATGCATGGCAGGCACCTATTGTTCTACACCTAATAGAACGTTTCTTTATTTATTTCTTTATTTATTTTTATTCCATCACCGTATGCGGCTCGTACCGCTGCGTCCACCCCCACAAAAGTGGTATCAAAACATGCGGCTCGATCTGGAGAAGGGAGCTTTTTATTTTATTTTATTTTTATTTTATTTTTATTGGGATTGGGGTTACCATGGCGACGTAATTCGTGAAGAACGACCCCCCAAAATCCCATTAAAGTCAATGGAACGAGGGAAAAAAAACAATCCTTAAAATACCCTATTTTTGAAGAATCGTCATTCATTGACGTAGAAATGCCATATAAATTTCAGTTTGGAGATACGTCCGTGATCTCTTCTAAAGTGAAGACGGTACATCAATATGAATTACGGTTTGTCCACAGCTTGTCTCCAAGCGACCCAAAGTTTTCAATTTTCCGTAAAATTAGAGTGTAACTGAAACCAACTGCCGCTCCAATAGAGTGAGAAAAAGAGTGGATTTCTGACCCCAAAATAATTTTTGAATTGCCGCCACGCCTACAGGTATCGCTCTATCGGTATCAAAGTCAGTCATGACATTGATACGCATGCCTGCTCCCGTAAAATGTTTTCGAAATTTCCCTAGGGCTTACTATTTTCTTTCAAGGTGCTTTAGAGCAAAGTCATGGGACAGGGTAATCTGACGCTCTCAAGTGTTTTCCACACATTTCTGACAAATTTCAGAGCTCAGCGCACACCATTCTTCTCTCATCGCTGTTATTACTTTGAGTTAGGTAGAGATATGAATCGCGGGACTATCGGAGACGACAAATAGCCCTCTCATATGCTTCAAACGGTTTTCGAATACGT